TGCAGGCCAGAAGGGAGTGGCAAGAAATATTCAGAGTGGTGAAAAGCAAGAACCTACAACCAAGATTACTCTATCCTGCAAAGCTGTCATTTAGAATTGATGGCCACATAAAGAGTTTCCCAGACAAGAAAAAGTGAAAGGAGTTTATCACCACCAAACCGTTATTATATGAAATGTTGATGGGTCTTTTTGAAGAAAAAGATAAAATATATGAACAAATAAAATGGCAATGAATACATCTCTATCGACAATGGAATCTACAAACTGAATAGGCAGAACAGAAACATTCTCATAGATACAGAGATCATTGTTTTGGTTGCCAGATTGGGGAGGGAGCAGGGAGAATGGGTGAAAAAGGTGAAGGGTTTAAAAAGTACAAATTGGTTGCTAGACTGACAAACCTCAAAGGGAAGGTGGTTGGAAGGTGGGAAGAAATAGATAGAAAAATGGCGGCGGAGTGAACGGAAGCTACACAGACCGTCTCCCAGAACCAAACTGGAATTACTACTATAACACAGACAAATTGACGGGAAAAAGCAACAGAAAAGCAGCTTTTGAGGACCATACAATTAGGGACACTGACTCCATCCTGGTAGGCTTGTGAAGGCGCGAGACGGGGTCTGGGAGCCCACGGTCGGCAGCTCGGCAGAGGCCTTAGCTGGGAGCGGCGCCATAGAACTAAACCATAGAACAAACATCATTCAAAACTGCCTGAAATCAAGCTAAATGGAAGTCCTACAACTACGGAATTAAAGCAGCAGCCACATCCAGACTGGTAGGAGGGGCGGAGGCACGAGGGGCAGTGCGAAGGGCTGGTCCCACACCCAAGTGTGGCGGATAAAAATCAGGAGGATACCTCGGCTGGGACAGTCCTTCCTGAGGACTGAGGGGTCCCTGTCCCACACCAGGTGCCCCGCTCAGGGTTCCAGTGCCAGGAAGAGAAGTCCCCATAACTTCTGGCTGGAAAAACCAGCGGGAACTGAGGCTCAGGGAAGCTGAAGCGGCTGGAGCCCCAGGCAGCTCCTTAAAGGATCCATGCACGAACTTATCGGACTCTCTCCCTCTAAGCTTGGAGAGTGGAGGCAGCTCACTGGGCGCCAGAGACGTACAGGGAAGAACTGAGCTGTTTGGCACTGGAGCGAGGGCTAAAGAGGGGGCTTTCTCAGGGACAAACGTGCTGTCAGAGGCCTTTGTTCCTTTGGTGAGCCCTTCCCTGGGGCGGCAGACAGAAGCCATATCTGGGACTCCAGCAACCTGGCTCACACTGGTAGCCCCGCCCTGCTGACTCCCTGAGGCCCCACCCCACCCCACCCAACTTTCAGGCCCACCCAAGCTGTTGCCACTTGCACAATGGAATCTACAAACAAAATGAACAGGTAGAACAGAAACATTCTCATAGATACAGACAACATATTGTTGGTTGCCAGTTGGGGGGGGGTGTTGGGGGAATAGGTGAAAAAGGTGAAGAGATTAAGAAGTACAAATTCATTGCTAGACTGACAAACCTCAAAGAGAAAGGGGTTGAGGGGGTGGGAAGAAATAAACCAAAGAACTTATATGCATAACCAATGGACACAGACAATAGTGTCTGAAAAGGCGGGAGGGGGGCGGGAGTGGGGAGGAGGGGGTCAATGGGGGAAAAATGTGGAACATCTGTAATACATTTTACATTCAACAATAAAGATTTAAAAAAAATTTGTTTTAAAATTTGAGGACATGTTGAGAGAGAGAGAGAGAGAGAGAAAGAGAGAGAGAGAGAGAGAGAGAGAGAGAGAGAGAGAGAGAGAGAGAGAGAGAAACATAGATTCCGTACATGCCTTGACCAGGTATCGAACCCATGCATTGTCTAGGAATCAATGCACCAACTGGGAATGGAATTAACAACCTTTTGGTGCACAGGATAACTGCTGAGCCACTCCAGGTGGGCCTATTTTTTCTTTTGAACACTATGTATCTACCACTTTTCAGAAATTTTCTTTCCCAACTTTTATCTACTCCATCACTGCAATTATTTGTCATTTTCTGGAATTTCTTTCACATAGTAGAGCTCACTGTGGATTATAAGATCATTACTTATCCTCTCTATCATATTAGTATCATCATCACTTATCAGTTGTATTATTGCAGCTATGCATTTTACTACAATGTACTACCAAACCAAGGGAAATTGAGCTGATTTTTATTTTTTCTGTTTTGCTGAACCTAGAATATTTGGAGTTTGATTTTTTTTTTTTTACTGGGGAAACAGTAAAATTTATGTCGAAAGTGTCTATTCTCCAGAGATTTATGAGCAAGCCAGAAGTCATTTTTTCCCCCCACATACACAACTAGATTGACAAATGCCTGGGTAAATGGCAAAGAAATAAAATGAATTTTCAAAGTGGACTCCAACAGAAGAATTTAATGTCATAGCTTATCACAATAGAGATATATCAACTATAGTATTTGGACAAATATGGTTAGAAAGAAAACAAGATGTCTTATTTTATGGGGCAGAAAATGCACTTACTTTTTTTGTTTTTTATTTAGTAATATCTGTGGTCTATTTTCTAGGAAGTATTTTTGTATTTAGTAATGTGTATATTCATGCAGACTTACACATTACTTCTGATTATTCTGGTTACTTAGGACTTTTCATATGTGGGTTATTAGCATTTTGTAGTTTATATATGCACATTATATTGAATATTTCTCTAGTGTCAGTAAGAAAATAAATCATTGGTATGAGAAAACACTGGCATTACAAGGTATTCATCTGGAATTATTCAACCTTTCACAAGCAAATGAGAAAGATTATAGGGTTAGACCAAATCCTGGATTCCTTTTCCTCTCTGCCCATCTGTATTCATTATAGTTGAAAGATAGACAAATGAAACTATTGGTAGCTCTGTCTTTAAAGCTTTATTACAATTTAAAAGCATTAAAAAGGAGAGAAAATGGAAAAATCTTATCAAAGGCTCAAAATAATCTTCATATTGAATAGTTGAATTTTCCAGCTTAATGACAATGAAGAATGAAGATAGGTATTGTAAAGATATGACTTCATATTGGTATAATTCAGTATTTGCAATTTTAAAGAATTGATTATAGAATTTGTAAAGACCTCTGTCATAATATAGAACTGACAATTGGGCACAGCACTAGAGGAAATGAAATGGGTCAGTGGTTTTCCATTCTGTATAAATTACATAGGGCAAACCCACAGCTTTGGCTAAAACGCACACCAGAATCCAAAATACCTCTGGTCTGTTGCTCTGGCTATTGTTATGCTTCTTGGACCCCAGGAATGTGCATTGAGAATATGGAAAAACCAGAGAGCACAAAGCTGTCACATGAAATGCAGAGAATATTGATAGTTTTCCCTGGTATTCATTTTTGTCCCCTTTCCCCAAAACATCCCCACTTTATTTTATTTAATTTTTTTCTTTATTGATTTTAGAGAGAGGAAGGGAGAGGGAGAGAGAGATAGAAACATCGATGAGAGAGAACATTGATTGGCCTCCTCCTGCATGCCCACCCCTGGGGATCAGGCCCACCAACTGGGCATGTGTCTTGACAGGGAATCAAACTGGCGACCTCTTGGTGCATGGGTCAACGCTCAAGTATTGAGCCACACCGGCCGGGCACCACCCCCACTTTAATCCAGGGATCCAACCTTTGCTAGCACAGCTCATGGGCTCCAGGGGAAGCTGAGCCCTCCCCCAGTTCCAGGGGTTCCTGATTGGTGTTAGGGTAATTCCATCCCTACTGTCCCAGTGTTTGATTCTGGAATAGTCGTGTGTCACAATAACAGACCCTTACTGGGGAACTTAGAGTCCTTTTCTTTGGTTTTAAGAGTGGGCCACCAGGCTTGTGGGTGCCTTTTCCTCTAGACACATGTTTTTAATGTTAGTCCTGAAACCACTGTAGCCAGTTTGAAGCAGACACATGGAAAGAGAATAGAATCAAAGAGATGCAAGCCAGAACTCTAATCAAATCATATCTGATCCCTGCTTTTAGAGCTGTGAGCTAATAAATTTCCTTAAGTGTTTATGCAAATTTTTTTTTTTTGAATTTTAATCATGTCTTCATTAAGACGAGTCATTCAGAAATGCAAGACAAGTGACGTTCCCTGCAGTACACAATCTCTAAATTTAGAAACAGTAATAGTTGTCATGATTATTTTATTTTCTTTCTCTGTGAAGAGTGGCTCTAAACACAGCCTGATGATTCACATAACCAGAAAAGGAAATCGAGTCTATATAAACGTGACACACGTGGAGCTGCGGCACTGAAGCGCCCTGCGTTTGGCTATAGACAAGTATGCTGTTTGCCTTAAATCTTCGGGTACCATGGCTTTTAAGTTTCATTTTGATATCCAAGCAGAAACTGCATGACTTCATCTTATGTAATAAGCTGATGTAAGGGTGGAAAACTTGTGGAAATGAAGGAAATTCCAAGTTTTGTGTGTGTACATAGTGGCTTTATATAATAAGTTTGCAGCCATTAAAGCGTTATATAGGGACAATTTAAGACTTCAATTCCTGATTACAGATGGCCAAATCTAATCCTTCTTGTCATTATCATTGGTGTCATAATTTATTTGCTTAAAGGTAAACTATGACCTCTTGATAGTATATACTATATTAAGGATGATATACCAGTTATCAGTCAAGAAGGTAAAATAAACATATAATAAATACTAAAGTCAGATGGAGTAAATTCAGCTTTGTGAAATCTTGTTTATGTTTGCTGACAAATTTTTGCTTCTGCCCAAGATCATTTTTAGTTCAGTATGCGTGCTACACTAGTTAGAATTTAACTCATGAATGTTATTTTATTGAGTTTTAAAATATTCAATACTTTTGATCCAAAAAAGATACCTATGCCTTAAAAAAAAGTCAATATAATCAGCATAGGCTTTTTCTACCAGTTTCCCTTTCTAATCCATTTCCCCCCCTCCCGTATTCACTTTTATTCCTCACAATTTCATAACAAAGTGACTAATCGGGAACTAAATCTCAAATACTATTTTGAAGAAGTGTAGAGTAAATAATTTTGGTAATTTGTAGGACAGTTGCATGCAGTGTGTACTGTATTATAACAGCACCAAACCCTTTATAAAAACCAAGCATTCCTTCTTCCTGCTTTATGGTATTAATGCAGTCTCTCATTCCCTCATACTGGGTATTAATTGGAAGCACTTCATAGCCCAGGTCTGTATTGTCAATTATTGTGCGTGTTCCTTGAATGTGAAGGCGGTGAAACACTGTTTCCAAGGGGTAAAGTATAACATCAGAGCAAAGACTGGCAGCAAAGTTAGCAATGAGTTCTGGAGAATAAGCATCCAACATACTCTGCACCGGGCTAGTGCTCTCAGCTGGGTGGCTAGCATAAGTCTTTCTCTTTAGAATTAGTAGGACAAACTTCTGAATGATTGAGCTGATGACGTAGTGAAGAACCCCGCACCGTAGGGAAGATCAAGGAGAGAAGAGGAAGCAGCCGTTTGCCGTGAGGCACTCCCATGCCAATCACTCTTCCGATGCCTCTTTAACACATTCCAGAATTCCAGTGTTATCTCCAATTATCTCACTCTGTACTGTTTCAATTAGACTTGCTGAATAAAAAGGCATTGCCACCATATAAGTTAGGCTAACCCTATGGGCCAGGTCCTGGCAAGTAGTGGTTTTCAAGGTGAATGGAACATCACTAAGTAATAATGTGCTGGAGCGCTCCACAGAGGGAGCCAGCAAGCTGGGGGGTTTCCAATTCACAATGATTTCAGCAGAGGGTGTTCTCCTATATGTTTAGGATTCCATTTATGTGAAACCTCCCTTGGTAAAGGTGTAAATTCACTGATTATTCCCTCTGCTCCAAGTGTGACTCCTTGGACAATAAATGTACTTCCCATTCCTTTCCAAAGGGCCCTTGGTCCCTGAGTTTTGTTGAAGCTGTACATAATATTGATAACTGTAAATGGAGTGAGATGATAATGCCGAGCATGGTAATTGACCTGACACTGGCGGCGCAGAACAATGCAAGGATGAGCCAGTACATTCTCTGTAAAGAGACTTGCAAGCCCAATACCAAATCCAGCAAATCTACTCAACTGTTCGCTGCTCTGCGCCGGCACCCCCGGGGAAGGCCTCCTCCCCCCGGCCCCTCGCCCTCCCGAGGTGCAGGTTGCGGCTACCCGGAATGTCTGGGGGAGTGGTCACCCAGTGGCCCAGGTCCGACCCGGCGCTGAAGGAGCTTGCAGGGAAAGCGACGCCAAAACCCCGCTCATCCCGTGCACTCCCTCGATAGCCCAAGCCGTCAAACCCGTCCGGGCGCCGCAGATGCATCGCAGACGGGCAGGATGAGGCGGGCCCAGCCGGAGACCACCACCGCTGGGGCCGCGGCGACTCCTGCCCACAGACTCTCCTTCCTCCTCCTCTTCCCCCGCCACCGGGTCTGGAGAAATTGACAACCCTGTTTATGCAAATTTAAGTGGGCTGTTCCTTGTAGCCAAGATTACACCTACTGATAGAGATAGGAGGTACAGTCCAAACCTAAGTGGTTCCTAATCCAGAGGACCCCACAGGGTCTGTTTCAGGGATCCTTTGGCCACTTTGAGCTAATGGGAGGGTCATATAGATGCTCTCTTCTGGTCCAGACCTATTTTAAAATTTCACTTTTTTTGTGGTCATGCTCTTCAAAGTTTTCTGGTTTGTAAGCCTAGAGAGTACTCCTTCAAAGGCCATCTCTGCTGGAATGGATCCTTTGGATGCAATCTGATGCAGATACCCATCCTCGGCTCCAGAAGTGCCTGCCACTGTGACCTCCAGGCTATGGAAAATACATCAAATGGTTCTTCTCTCTGGTAGTTCACCATCTCCAGCATTTCTTTTTTTCTTTATTGATGAGAGAGAGAGAGAGAGAGAGAGAGAGAGAGAGAGAAGGGGAAGGAGAGAGAGACAGAAGCATCAATGAGAGAGAACATCGATTGACTGCCTCCTGCATGCCCCCCACTGGGGATGAGGCCCACAACCTGGGCATGTGCCCTGACTGGGGATGGAACTGGCGACCTCTTGGTGCATGGGTCATGCTCAACCACTGAGCCACACCGGCCACTCTAGCACGATTTATAATGAGGAGACCTGTCTGTGGGAGATGAATTCTTACTAATAGACTCACTTCTGGCTTCTCTAATTTTATAATAGTTTTGGTCCAGGCACACAGTCACTTTTGGGAACACCTGTTGAGCCCTTAACAGCTAAAAGTGGAAGCTATTGTGATAGAGGCAACTTGGTATTGAAAAGGCTTGGTCAGGCATGATAATAAAGCTGTCATTCTAAATAACCTCTAACTAGGCCCCATAAGAAGTAGCTGGATTGCATTCCAAGGGTAAAATATCTATTGTCAGCCACTATATGCTACAGATAAACTTCTTTGTTTGTTAATCCTCACTCGAGGATATTTTTCCACTGATTTTTAGATAGAGTGGAAGGGAAAGAGAGAGAATCATTAATATGAGAGACTCACAATGATTGGCTGCCTCCTGCACAACCCCGACCAGGGCTGAGGATCGAACCTACAATCCAGGTATGTGCCCTTTACTGGGAATTGAATCCATGACCCTTCGGTCCATGGGCCAACGCTCTAATCACTGAGCAAAACTAGCCAGGGCTACAGACAAACTTTTACAGTGAGGGATCTGTGATGTGCATGGTGTGTAATATTATAAGCCTGCAATCAGATAGGTGTGTTTTGCACTTTTGTTTAAATAGAACTATCAAATCAAGACCAATGGTTTTACATTTGGTTGTGAGTTGGGGAGGGGGTGAGGGGCAGAGCACTTGGCAGTCATAGTTCCTCAGATAAAACACCTTAAAACAATGTATATTTACATTGCCATTTAATGCCATTCTGAATACGAGGCAGATCTGCAGGCAGAAAATCTGACTATTGTCTCTATAACCCCAATAATGTTGGGCCTCTTTGTTTTTCCCTTAGAGTCTGTCTCTGCTCATTGTTTCAGCCAAAGGTATATCAGTCTGACATCTAAAAATAATTGTAAAGCAATTTAAATTTTTACTGTAATGTCTTGGATGATACAAAGCGGAGACATTCATAACAAGGTACAAACTGTTAAAAGTTTTTTATTCATCTATCTTCTCAAAGTCTCACAGCATGGTAGGTGGCTCTAATCTGTTATTTTCTCAAGATTTCTTCAGAAAGTCAAAAATATCTCTTGCTCTCCTTTGTCCTGTCTCTATTCTCTTCTGTGTATATTTTCTTCTCTTGTAGAGTACATTTGGCCCTTTTCAATAAAAATAAATAAGGCCAATCTAGGATTCTCTGTTATCCATTACTCAGTTCTACACAGAGTCCCAGGAATTAGGTATATGATGAAGGAGAGAATTCTCCTTAGCATTACATTTTTGTTTTTGTTTTGTCAATCCTCATTTGAGGATATTTTTTCCATTGATTTTTTTAAAGAGTGGAAGGGAGGGATGAAAAGAGGAGGACGAGGAGGAGAGAGAAAGAACTTCTATTGGTTGCCTTCCGCACATACCCTGACTGGGACCAGTAAATTGAACCTGCAACCCAGGTACATGCCCTTGACCAAGGAGCGAACCCGTGATCCCCTGGTGCATAGGCCAATGCTCTAACCACTGAACCACTGAGCACACCATCCAGGGTGTAAGCATTACTTTTTTTTTTTTGATGTTAGGAAATATTTTATTTCTAATAATAACAACAACAATAATAATACTAGACATCAACAATATTAATATAACAGCTATTATTTGTTGAGAATGTATTATTTCCAAAGCACTACGTTCAGCACTTTCTTTCTTTTCTTTTTTTATTTATTTAATTTATTTTTGTTACAGATGTTTCTCCTTTTTCCTCCACTAATTCCCCCCTCCTCCTCCCTCCCTGTCCTCTCCCCAGCTTTGTTGTCCATGTCCGTTGTTCATGCATACATGCATGTAAGTTCTGTGGTTTATCTCTCCCCCACCACCCCCTCTTCTGGGGATCGTCAGTCTGTACCCCACTTCCATGTCTCTGGGACTACCCCATTCCTCAGATTGTTATGTTCATTATATTCCACAAAATAAGTGAGATCATATGATACTTGTCTTTCTCTGTTTGGCTTGTTTCGCTTAGGATGACACTTTCCAGGTCCCTCCATGTTGTCTCAAAGGATAAGAGATCTTTTTTTCTTACAGCTGCATAGTACTTCATTGTGTATATGTACCACAGCTTTTTTTTATCCATTCGTCTACTTATGGACATTTGGGCTGTTTCCAGATCTTAGCTATTATAAATAGTGCTACTACGAACATGGGGGTACATATATTCTTTCTGATTGGTGTTTCAGGCTTCTTAGGGTATATTCCTAGAAGTGGGATCACTGGGTCAAATGGAAGTTCAATTTTTAATTTTTTGAGGTAACACCATATTGTTTTCCATAGTGGCTGCACCAATCAGCATTCCCACCAGCAGTGTACTAGAGTCTCCTTTTCTCCACATCCTCGCCAACACTTGTTGTTTGATGATTTGTTGATGGCGGCCATTCTGACAGGTGTGAGGTAATACCTCATTGTTGTCGTAATTTGCGTCTCTCTTATGATTAGTGATGTTGAGCATTTCTTCATATGTCTCTTAGCCATTTGTATGTCCTGTTTGGAGAGGTGTCTATTTAGTTCCCCTGCCCATTTTTTAATTGGGTTCTTTGTCTTCCTTTTGTTGAGTTGTATGAGCAATCTATATATATTGGAAATTAACCCCTTATCTGATATATCATTGGCAGTTATGCTCTCCCATACAGTGGGTAGCCTTTCCATTTTTATGATGGTATCTTTTGCTGTGCAGAAGCTTTTGAGTTTGATGTAGTCCCATGTGTTCATTTTCTCTTTGTTTCTGTTGCCTTAGGTGATGTATCAGTGAAAATTCTGCTGCGTATGATGTCTGAAATTTTGTTGCCTACAGTTTCTTCTAGAATTTTGATGGATTCATGACTCACATTTAAGTCTTTTTTACATTTTGAGTTTATTCTTGTGTAGGGTGTAAGTTGATGGTCTAGTTTCATTTTTTTGCATGTCGCTGTCCAATTTTCCCAACACCATTTATTAAAGAGGCTGTCTTTACTCCACTGTATGCTCTTGCCACCTTTGCAAATATTAATTAAGCATATTGCCTTGGGTCCATTTCTGGGTTCTCTGTTCTGTTCCACTGGCCTATATGCCTGTTCTTGTGCCAGTACCAGGCTGTTTTGATTACAGTGGCTTTGTAGTATAACTTGAAATCTGGTAATGTGATCCCTCCTACTTTGTTCTTCTTTTTCAAGATTGCTGTGGCTATTTGAGGTTTTTTTTTGGTTTCATATGAATTTTTGAAGTATTTGTTCTAGTTCTTTGAAGTATGTCATTGGTATTTTGATGGGGATTGCATTGAATCTATAGATTGCTTTGGGTAGTATGGACATTTTAATGATGTTAATTCTTCCAATCCATGAACAAGGTATGTGCTTCCACTTTTTTATATCTTCCTCTATTTTTTTTTTCAATGACCTGTAGTTTTCTGTGAATAGGTCCTTTATTTCTTTGGTTAAGTTTATTCCTAGGTATGTTAATTTTTTTGCTGCTGTGGTAAATGGGATTGTTTTTTTAGTTTCTCTTTCTGTGAGTTCATCATTGGTGTATAAGAATGCCATTGATTTCTTGATGTTAATTTTGTATTCTGCTACTTTGCCAAATTCATTTATTAAGGCTAGTAAATTTTTGATGGGGTCTTTGGGGTTTTCTACATATAGTATCATGTCATCTGCGAATAATGACAGTTTTACTTCCTCCTTTTCAATTTGGATCCCTTTTATTTTTTCTTGCTGTCTGATTGCTGTGGCTAAGACTTCCAGTACTATGTTAAATAAGAGTGGCAAAAGTGGGCATCCCTGTCTTGTTCCTGTTCTTAAGGGAAATGCTTTTAGTTTTTGCCCATTGAATATGATGTTGGCAGTAGGTCTTTCATATATGGCCTTTATTATGTCTAGATATGATCCCTCTATTTCCACCCTGCTGAGCATTTTTATCAGAAATGGATGCTGGATTTTGTTGAAGGCTTTTTTGGCATCTATTGATATGATCCTGTGGTTTTTATTCTTCATTTTGTTTATGTGGTGTATCACATTTATTGATTTGTGAATATTGTACCAGCCTTGCATCTCTGGGATGAATCCCACTTGGTCATGGTGAATAATTTTTTTGATGTGTTGCTGGATCTGATTTGCTAGTATTTTGATCAGGATTTTGGCGTCTATGTTCATCAGGGATATTGGCCTGTATTTTTCTTTCTT